CCCCGGTGTGAGCCCCCGCCGGTCCCGGTGAGCCCAAGAGATGCCACCAGGACAGACTGTGGCTCCCACAAACATCCAGGGTTTGTGGGTCTCATTTCTGCTCGCTTGGGGTAGACGAGAGCTTGCTGCAGAGCAGCCTCCTGGGGGGCGTTGAATCCTTCACAGCCCCTGTACTCACTTTCCCTTTCCCATATGAAGGGGAGATACAAAGACAAGGGAAATGACCGGAGAGAGAAATACCAGCAGATGGATTCCCCGGAGAGGAAGCGATTCCGACACGACCGGGACTCCGAGAGGTAACGCCTGCTGCCGGCGACGTGTTCTGGGGCCGCCGACGGCAGGGTGGCACTTGGGCAGCTGTGACACCAGGGCAGGGGGAAAGGTCTGCACACAGGGCAGCCTGGCAGCTCCTGCCCACGCAGGCGACCGCGGTGGGAGCCTGCCGGGCGCTGGGACTTCTCTGGGAAGGCCGGAGTGCAGGGGAGAGCGTGAGGGAGAGCGGAGGCTGTGAGGGTGCCTGGCCCGGCTCGGGGAGCAGAGTGCATCCCATCGGCAACTACCCCCCTTGGAGGTGTTTGCTGTCCTCCTGGCTAGGCATGGAGCCATCAGGAGAAAGAGCAAAGCTGTGTTTTGTCTGCTTCACTGACTCAGGAGACAGTAGGAGCCATTTCCATCTCGGAGTAGGAGGAGGAAGCGTGTGCTCTGCAGAGCTGCGAGCCTGTGTGTTCCCGTGGGCTGAGGAATCGTGAGGCCTCTGTGGAAGACAAAACCCCTCGTGGGCCTGTTTGCTCCTGCTGCGACACCTCAGGAAGGAGACCCTTCCCTCACGTCCTGCAGTGTAGGGATCTGTATCTTCCCTCCTGCCCTGGAGGAGCTGTGGACAACCTGAAGCAGTTGGCACGCAGAGTCGCTGCCAAGTGCTGGAGTGCACTTTGCCGAGTGCAGGAAGCTCCTTCTGTGCTCAACAGTTTCCAGAACTCTGGTTCTGATAAATGGTTGTGGATGAATAATGACCAGGAGGGAGAAAGTGTGTCCTAGTCAACACCGCATCAGCTGAGCTCAGGGACCTCTGCTCTTGCAGCGCTGGAGGAAACAAAAGATCTAACGGAACAGCAGGGCTTAGACTTTGCTTTCTTGCTGTCACTAAAATGCAGGTATACAAAGTGTTTGCACAAAATGCTCCTGGCCTTCTCATGCCATAAATATTTTGGAGCCTGAGCTCATTCCTGTGTCCTGGTTTATCGTCCCCTGAGGCTGGACACGGAGCAGCATCGGCAGAGGTGTCTGAGCCCCGCGCGAGAACGCGTCGAGTTGAATTTCTTGGGCAGTTCACTGCTTAAAAGCAACTCGAGTGCTCTCGGGAGAGGTCGGGGTGTAAATGGAGGTGCCATTATTAGGGCTGCAAATCCCTGGCGTGTGCCTGAAGCACTGTAAAGCTGCATAATGGAATCTCTCTTTTTGCAGTGACTACGACCCAAGGGTTGATGGTGACAGCAAAGGAAACCGAATGTTGCAGTCCCCCGGCTGGAAGAAAGGCCTGGGCTACAACCAGCAGGGCACGGCCTCGCCGGCAGAGGTAAATCCCCCCCTTCCTTTGAACAAACCTCTGCCTTTCCACCTGCAACCTCTCCCAGGACAGCTAGGGGGAATTCACAGCCCGAAGGGGAGTCAGCCTGTAGGAAGCAGCACCCGCTTGTTGGAGACCTGCACGTGCACGAGTTAAACGTGTGGACTGGGGGCCGCCCGCTGTGGCAGCGGCCGTGCGAGGGTTACGGGGGGCTGAGCAAGGGCCAAAGAGAGGCCTGTGTCCTGCGGGGTGTTCCTGCTCCGTTTGCCGTGCCGCGGTCGGCTGCCTGGTGTCGGCGCCGCGACGCGGCTGCTGCTCACGTGGCAGCACCGAGCGCGCGATCGAGTGTGTCAGGGCAGGCAAATCTGTGAGGCTTTGCGGCGCGTTTGAGCCCACATGCACAAAAATGCATGATTCCCTCTTCAGGCAGCAAGAACCAGCCCCAGCTGCTGCTCAGTCCTTGCTGAGAGCCTTCTGCAGCCCTAAAAAGGGGTTCGCCGCGGTGCTCTGGGGGCTCTGACCCCCAGCTAGGCTCCCCGCCTGGCTGGGGGAGCTGGTCACCAGACACGGCCCTGTGCAGACCTCCCCGAGGAGCCCTGGTGCCCTCCTCCCCAGCCCTGCTGGGCAAAGCCGTGTGGCCAGTTAAGCCCAGACAGCTTTCATCTCCCAGACTAATTGGTCGCATCTCTGGTATCCAGACAACGGCAGACTTAAAAGGAAATAAAACTTCCAGCCTCGGGCCTGCTCTCCTGGGCTCGCTCTGGCCAGGTAGAGCTGAATAATTCAGTTGCTGGCTGCAAAAGCTGGCCGTTAAGAACCAGTTGAAAT